AACCACCACATCTAAGCTACCCCAACACCACATCTAACCTACCCCACATCCACCACATCTAAGCTACCCAACCACCACATCTAAGCTAGCCCAACACCACCTCTAACCTACCCCACATCCACCTCTAAGCTACCTAAACACCACATCTAAGCTACCCAACCACCACCTCTAAGCTACCCCTACACCACCTCTAACCTACCCCACATCCACCTCTAAGCTACCTAAACACCACATCTAACCTACCCAAACACCACATCTAACCTACCCCACATCCACCTCTAAGCTACCCAACCACCACATCTAAGCTAGCCCAACACCACCTCTAACCTACCCCACATCCACCTCTAAGCTACCTAAACACCACATCTAAGCTACCCAACCACCACCTCTAAGCAACCCCAACACCACCTCTAACCTACCCCACATCCACCTCTAAGCTACCTAAACACCACATCTAAGCTACCCAACCACCACCTCTAAGCTACCCCTACACCACCTCTAACCTACCCCACATCCACCTCTAAGCTACCTAAACACCACCTCTAACCTACCCAAACACCACATCTAACCTACCACACCACCTCTAAGCTACCCAACCACCACATCTAAGCTACCCCAACACCACCTCTAACCTACCCCACATCCACCTCTAAGCTACCTAAACACCACATCTAAGCTACCCAACCACCACTTCTAACATACCCCAACACCACATCTAACCTACCCAACCACCACATCTAAGCTACCCCAACACCACCTCTAACCTACCCAACATCCACCTCTAAGCTACCCCAACACCACCTCTAACCTACCCCACATCCACCTCTAAGCTACCCAACCACCACATCTAAGCTACCCCACATCCACCTCTAAGTTACCTAAACACCACATCTAACCTACCCCAACACCACATCTAACCTACCCCACATCCACCTCTCAGCTGCCAAACCACCACATCTAAGCTACCCCAACACCACCTCTAACCTACCCCTCATCCACCTCTAAGCTACCAAACCACCACATCAAAGCTACCACAACACCACCTCTAACCTACCCCACATCCACCTCTAAGCTACCCCAACACCAAACCTCTAACCTACCCCACATCCACCTCTAAGCTACCTAAACACCACATCTAACCTACCCAAACACCACATCTAACCTACCACACCACCTCTAAGCTACCCAACCACCACATCTAAACTACCCCAACACCACCTCTAACCTACCCCACATCCACCTCTAAGCTACCTAAACACCACATCTAACCTACCCAAACACCACATCTAACCTACCACACCACCTCTAAGCTACCCAACCACCACATCTAAGCTACCCCACATCCACCTCTAAGCTACCTAAACACCACATCTAACCTACCCCAACACCACATCTAACCTACCCGACATCCACCTCTAAGCTACCAAACCACCACATCTAAGCTACCCCAACACCACCTCTAACCTACCCCACATCCACCTCTAAGCTACCTAAACACCACATCTAAGCTACCCAACCACCACTTCTAACATACCCCAACACCACATCTAACCTGCCCCACCACCACCTCTAACCTACCCCAACACCACCTCTAAGCTACCCCACATCCACCTCTTAGCTACCCCAACACCACCTCTCACCTACCCCAACACCACCTCTTACCTACACCAACACCACCTCTAACCTACCCCAACACCACCTCTAAGCTACCCAACACCATCTCTAAGCTACCTAAACACTACCTCTAACCTACCCCACATACACCTCTAAGCTACCCACATCCACCTCTAAGCTGCCCCACCACAACCTCTAACCTACCCCACATCCACCTCTAAGCTACCCCACAACCACCTCTAACCTACCCCACCACCACATCTAACCTACCCTAACACCACCTCTACGCTACCCAACCGCCACCTCTAAGCTACCCCAACACCACATCTAACCTACCCCACCACCACCTCTAACCTACCCCACATCCAACTCTAAGCTACCCCAACACCACATCTAACCTACCCCAACACCACCTCCAACCTATTCCACAACCACCTCTAAGCTACCCAACCACCACCTCTAAGCTACCCCAACACCACATCTAACCTACCCCATCACCACCTCTAACCTACCCCACATCCCCCCCTTACCTGCCCCACCACCACCTCTAAGCTACCCCAGCACTACATCTAAGCTACCCCACATCCTACTTTAAGCCAATCTGTGATATGCTAGTTTTTATACTGCCCTTCGTCCGCAGAATTTTGTACTACTTAATATATATTGTTAATGTTAATATGTTTCGTCACGATATGGCTGAAATATTGCCGATGTGACGTTAAGCTTTAACTCACTCACTCACTCACTCCTACTTTAAGCTACCCCCACATCCACCTCTAACCTACCCAAACACCACCTCTTAGCTACCCCAACACCACCTCTAACCTACCCCACCACCACCTCTAAGCTACCCCACAACCACCTCTAAGCTACCCAACCGCCACCTCTAAGCTACCCAAACACCACATCTAAGCTACCCCAACACCACATCTAACCTACCCCACCACCACCTCTAACCTACCCCACATCCACCTCTAAGCTACCCCAACACCACATCTAACCTACCCCAACACCACCTCCAACCTACCCCACAACCACCTCTAAGCTACCCCAACACCACATCTAACCTACCCCAACACCACCTCTAACCTACCCCACATCCACCTCTAAGCTACCACACCACCACCTCTAAGGTACCCCAACACCACATCTAAGCTACCCCAACACCACCTCTAACCTACCCCATATCCACCTCTAACCTACCCAACCGCCACCTCTAAGCTACCCCAACACCACATCTAACCTACCCCATCACCACCTCTAACCTACCCCACATCCCCCCCTTACCTGCCCCACCACCACCTCTAAGCTACCCCAGCACTACCTCTATGCTACCCCACATCCTACTTTAAGCCAATCTGTGATATGCTAGTTTTTATACTGCCCTTCGTCGGCAGAATTTTGTACTACTTAATATATATTGTTAATGTCAATATGTTTCGTCACGATATGGCTGAAATATTGCCGATGTGACGTTAAGCTTTAACTCACTCACTCACTCACTCCTACTTTAAGCTACCCCACATCCACCTCTAACCTACCCCAACACCACCTCTTAGCTACCCCAACACCACCTCTAACCTACCCCACCACCACCTCTAAGCTACCCCAACACCACCTCTAGGCTACCAAAACACCACCTCTTAGCTACACAACCACCACATCTAAGCTACCCCACATCCACCTCTAACCTGCCCCACCACATCCTCTAAGCTACCCTAACACCACCTCTAAGCTACCCCACCACTACCTCTAAGCTACCCCAACATCACCTCTAAGCTACCCCACATCCACCTCTAAGCTACCCGAACTCCACCTCTAAGTTACCCTACATCCACCTCTAAGCTACCCTACCACAACCTCTAAGCTACCCCACATCCACCTCTAAGCTACCCCAACTCCACCTCTAAGTTACCCTACATCCACCTCTAAGCTACCCCTTATCCACCTCTAAGCTACCCGACCACAACCTCTAACCTGCCCCACCACCACCTCTAAGCTACCCCACCACCACATCTAAGCTACCCCAACACCACCTCTAACCTGCCCCACCACCACCTCTAAGCTACCCCACCACCACCTCAAAGCTACCCCACATCCACCTCTAAGCTACCCCAACACCACCTCTAAGTTACCCTACATCCACCTCTAAGCTACCCTACCACAACCTCTAAGCTACCCCACGTCCACCTCTAAGCTACCCACATCCACCTCTAAGCTACCCGACCACAACCTCTAACCTGCCCCACCACCACCTCTAAGCTACCCCACCACCACATCTAAGCTACCCCAACACCACCTCTAACCTGCCCCACCACCACATCTAACCTACCCAACCGCAACCTTTAAGCTACCCCAGCACTACCTCTAAGCTACCCCACATCCACCTCTAAGCTACCCGACCACAACCTCTAACCTGCCCCACCACCACCTCTAAGCTACCCCACCACCACCTCTAAGTTACCCAACCACCACCTCTAATCTACCCCACCACAACCTCTAAGCTACCCCACATCCACCTCTAAGCTACCCCTTATCCACCTCTAAGCTACCCGACCACAACCTCTAACCTGCCCCACCACCACCTCTCAGCTACCCCACCACCGCCTCTAAGCTACCCCACCACCACCTCTAAGCTACCCCAACACCACCTCTAAGCCACCCCAACACTTCCTCTAAGCTACCCCACCACCACCTCTAAGCTACCCCAACACCACCTCTAAGCTACCCCAACACCACCTCTAAGCCACCCCAACACTACCTCTGAGCTACCCCACCACCACCTCTAAGCTACCCCAACACCACCCCTAAGCTTCCCCAACACCACCTCTAAGCTACCCCACCGCCACCTCTAAGCTACCCCAACACAACCTCTAAGCTACCCCACCACCACCTCTAAGCTACCCCACCGCCACCTCTAAGCTACCCCAACACTTCCTCCAAGCTACCCCACCACCACCTCTAAGCTACCCCAACACCACCTCTAAGCTACCCCAACACCACCTCTAAGCCACCCCAACACTACCTCTGAGCTACCCCACCACCACCTCTAAGCTACCCCTACATCCGCCTCTAAGCTACCCCACCACAACCTCTAAGCTACCCCACATCCACCTCTAAGTGCCCCATCGCCACATTTTTAGCCTCCCGACCTCCCCTATTGTGATATAAAGATATACGTTATATGTTGAACTTAAGTACTTAAACTAAGTACTGATAACGAAAGGTCGCATAAATCAACATATATAAATACCTTTTATTTTGCAACAATAGCTTTTAAAATAAATGAAGCATGAAAGTAAGGAAATATTTTGATGGGATGACCCCGGTATTGCTTCCGCGTCGATCACACGCATCAACGTGTACGGAATCTTGTGTCGCGAGGCCAGATCCCGCACTCTCAGTGGTGGTGATTAATTTACCCTATAAAACCCTTGTGATGGTGTTGTTGTGGTTAAGGATACTGTGCGTGGTCGCGTGCTGCTGTGTGCAAGGATGTCATTCAGATGAAGGTAATCACCGCTTCACTGCATGCTCTTTATCTACAGTCACAGGCGTGTTGAACTCATGTATCAAGCGCTGAAGAGATGTGAAGGCAGCCATAGAAAATCAGTTGTAACAGATGTGTGAAAGTGGACACAAATAAAATCTTCCGGTGCAAACACTGTCGTTCCGGTTGATCTTCCGGTTTTAGTATTATTCATCTTGGCGTCATAGGGTACATTACTCTTCAAAGCAGCACTCGCTCCCTCCCTCACTCCCTCATTCCCTCATTCCCTAACTCACTACGGGTGGCCCAGTCGTCTAAGGCGCCGCGATTCGCTGTGCAGGGTTGCGTCCCTTGGGCGCGCCAGAATACTATGAGTGTGGGTTCGAATCCCGGTTCGCCCCGATTATGTTTCTAGGTTTGTCAGCACCATACCCGTGCTCGCGGTTTTCACCGAAGTGGTTAACGTCTGAGACCTGCATCACTTCATTATTTCCTCCCACATTAAGCTGACACGCCGGGATATTACTGGAATACTGTTAAAAGCGGCGTTAAACCGAACTTACTCACACACCCTAACTTACAAACTCTCTCACTCACTCAAATCGATCGATGGATCCAGCTCGATGGAGTGGTTGACAGGGTGTCTTCGTACCCAGTCGAAAGGACCGTTGCTAATAATATCAATCACTGGTCTGTCTGGTCCAGACTTGATTTTTCATAGACCCCGTCATAAAGCTGGAATATTGCTGTGTATGTCGTTACACATTCAACAGGCCGAAACACGACATGCATATAGTCACAAAGTCACACAAACACACACAGACAAACACACACAATCAATCAAACAATCATTATCATAATCATAAGAAATGGACCGCCTCCGTGGTCTTGTGGTAGAGCGTCCGCCCGGAGAGCGGAAGGTTGAGGGTTCGATCCCGGGCCGCGTCATACAAAAAGACGTTAAAAGATTGTACTTGTTGTTACCCTGTCTGGCGCTCGGCATTAAGGGGCTAAAACAAGGACTGGTCGGCTCGGAGTCAGTATACTGTGTCTGAGTGGGGTATTCATGTTAAACTGCGGCATGGTATCTCAGTGAGCTAGCACTATAAATCGGCATCAGTCCGGACTAGTACAAGCAGCCACACACACACATACACGTACATGCACGTCGCTATATAAGTGCAATAATCTTGGACGCGACGTTAAACCAAATTTCACCTCACCTCACCATAAGAAATGTCTACAAAAGCAACGTTATTTGGAATTTGGACTGCAACAGAATCCTGACCTCATTCCATATTCATCTACGACGTAGAATTACAACGCACTGCCGGCAATACCTCATGTGTTCCTAGTACGTGAAGATCCAGGTTATAACTGGTCTTCAGCAACCCATGCTTGTCGTAAGAGGCGAATAACAGTATCGGGTGGTCAGTCTCGCTGACTCGGTTGATGCGTGTCATCGTATCCCAACTGCGCACATCGATAGCCACGATATCACTCACTGGATTGTCTGGTCCAGACTCGATTATTTACAGACCGTCTTTATATGGCTGGAATATTGCGAAATAACAAACAAACAAACAAACAAACAAACAAACAAACACGATCATGTATCTCTATATATTACAGCATGGACTGAGAGTGACACAAGCACTACCTCTGTACGGGAAGGTCATAATGCAACGTTTACCTGGAACATGAGAATCTATGGACATCGGTTTTATGTTCGATCCCCCACCGACAAGAGTGTGCTGACAGTGGGATCGTCTCTGGTCAGCGTATGGCCTCAATATAAATCACGAATCAAGATCACTGGCGTCACCAACTCATCCGCTGGTCAGGCGGTACAGTTCATCCTGTACAGCGTGACGGCGAGTGATGCTGGGAGGTACACCTGTAGCACAGTCTGGTGGAGTGGCTGGAGTACCATCCCTGACTGTGGATACACCCTGGTTGTTGAAGGTATGCATCGTACATCAAGCATGTCTGCTAGTTTGTTAGAATATATTATTCGTGAAAAATATAAAAACAAGTCTAAATGAATAAATTGAATTTGTTGAAATAAAAAAATGACTCCTTAAGTACTAGTCGTTTAACTTGAAAACCGTATACAATACGAAGCTCATACTTACAGCATATAGTGAACTTCTCTAAGGGCACCGTGTCAGTGAGATCCGATTCCAAATCAACGAATCATTGTAAGTGTGTGATATACTTGATTATACTTGACGAGTTTTCGGAATCATCGTGGTCCGGTTCAATAGCGGTTCACTGTACAATACATTAGTCATTTCTTGGTCCATGTGTCATGTATACAGAATTCTTCTGAAGAAAACTGTAACAATATCCTCGAAAAAACTACTGTGCATCCTGAAAAAACAAGGATGCCAAAGGGTGCCAAATGAACCAAACGTTTCAAACCAATGACTGGTTAAGCAACGACCCCGGCCGTAGGGGAGACACGTTTTCACGTACAATAGAACTTAACTTTTGTATTTCAAAAGCTCGTGGGTTACAAGAGTCCTTCTTGTGTTGCCAGGGACCGCGGGACAAGCAAGCACCACCTCTGCACTGGGCCAGGACACAACCTTGGTGTACTCCACCCCTTTCAAGAGTACCGCACCGGACCACCATCCGACCTTGTCCTGGACAACAAACAACACGCACCTGCTGAAAGGAAAAAGGTATCAATTAACTAAACTCCTGCTAGTTAATAGTGAGTGAGTGAGTTTGGTTTAGCGCCGGTTTTAACAGTATTCCAGTTATATCGCGCCGTGTGAGCTTAATGTGGGAGGAAAGCCCGAAGTGATGCAGGTCTCAGACGTTTACCACTTCGGTGAAACCCACGAGCACGGGTATGGTGCTGACACACCGGGATTCGAACCCACAATCATAGGTTTCTGGCGTGTCCAAGGGACGCAACTCTGCACAGCGAATCGCGGCGCCTTAGACGACTGGGCCACCCGTGCCCCCTGCTAGTTAATAGGTGATACGTGTGTTTTCTGTGTCGGGAGGAACATATATGTAACAGGCAGGCCGGCCTTTGAAAAACATGTTCTCCTAGTTTTATATGATAAGTAAACTGATAGATAAAAACATATTCTTGAAGCTTCTTTTGCCAATAATATCATCATTAATCTGCAGAACGAAAGATTGAACCAATAACCCAATCGTTTGTCTCGAATGGAAATGACTTAATAAAAATAAATAAAAATAAAAATTAAGCATCACTGTAATGTTACATGACTGATGAATATATATGTCTGAAACTACAAAGCTTTTGATTAATATATTTGCTACCTTAAGTGATAGTGGAGTTTCTAACAGTAAAGTCATTTCTTTCTGACAGAACACAGGCCGACCAACCACACGACAGCAGCGTACGGACCATATCATACGGATGTCCAGCCATCCTGGATCTCTTCATAGTGACTCTATTTGTCGTTGGAGTCAGTCGATAAACAACTATTGTGATACATTTAACATAAATAAATCTGCTTTGTTTATGTTATTAACCTTGTATTGTATGAGTCCTCAAAGACATCGACAATTTAAGTCGATACAACCGAGGAGGCACATGTGTCTGCTAACCAATCATTCCCTACATGTCCAGTGTTAGGGTATTGACTGACCAACTTTAGTTTGACTATGCATGCATGTTCCATAGTCAAATACGACTTTCTTTAGCATCGTGAAGGGGTAGCTCATGGGTCACCCAATTTTCCATCTGGGAATAAGCAAGTTTTAATTAGATTCAGCTACGAACTAACCTTTTTTAAGAAAGACGGATGTTATCCTGAAAACAAATCTTGAGTGAATGTTGGTATAGTTGACATAGAACCAGTAATACAAGAAAACTACCTACCAGTCTCTAATGAAAGAGAATCAATTCTCAACATAAACAAATCAACGTCTCACCCAGACATGGCTAACAACAGTTGTGGTATTCTAATATAGGTGATCCAACACCTAGGATCAACGTCTCACCCAGACATGGCTAACAACAGTTGTGGTATTCTCATATAGGTGATCCAACATCTAGAATCAACGTCTCACCCAGACATGGCTAACAACAGTTGTGGTATTCTCATATAGGTGATCCAACACCTAGGATCAACGTCTCACCCAGACATGGCTAACAACAGTTGTGGTATTCTAATATAGGGGATCCAACACCTAGGATCAACGTCTCACCCAGACATGGCTAACAACAGTTGTGGTATTCTAATATAGGTGATCCAACACCTAGGATCAACGTCTCACCCAGACATGGCTAACAAAAGTTGTGCTATTCTAATGTAGGTGATCCAACACCTAGGATCAACGTCTCACCCAGACGTGGCTAACAACAGTTGTGGTATTCTAATATAGGTGATCCAACACCTAGGATCAACGTCTCACCCAGACATGGCTAACAAAAGTTGTGCTATTCTAATGTAGGTGATCCAACACCTAGGATCAACGTCTCACCCAGACGTGGCTAACAACAGTTGTGGTATTCTCATATAGGTGATCCAACACCTAGGATCAACGTCTCACCCAGACATGGCTAACAACAGTTGTGGTATTCTAATATAGGGGATCCAACACCTAGGATCAACGTCTCACCCAGACATGGCTAACAACAGTTGTGGTATTCTAATATAGGTGATCCAACACCTAGGATCAACGTCTCACCCAGACATGGCTAACAAAAGTTGTGCTATTCTAATGTAGGTGATCCAACACCTAGGATCAACGTCTCACCCAGACGTGGCTAACAACAGTTGTGGTATTCTAATATAGGTGATCCAACACCTAGGATCAACGTCTCACCCAGACATGGCTAACAACAGTTGTGGTATTTTAATATAGGGGATTCAACACCTAGGATCAACGTCTCACCCAGACGTGGCTAACAACAGTTGTGGTATTCTAATATAGGTGATCCAACACCTAGGATCAACGTCTCACCCAGACATGGCTAACAACAGTTGTGGTATTTTAATATAGGGGATTCAACACCTAGGATCAACGTCTCACCCAGACATGGCTAACAACAGTTGAAGTATTCTAATATAGGTGATCCAACACCTAGGATCAACGTCTCACCCAGACATGGCTAACAACAGTTGTGGTATTCTAATATAGGTGATCCAACACCTAGGATCAACGTCTCACTCAGACATGGCTAACAACAGTTGTGGTATTCTCACATAGGTGATCCAACACCTAGGATCAACGTCTCACTCAGACATGGCTAACAACAGTTGAAGTATTCTAATATAGGTGATCCAACACCTAGGATCAACGTCTCACCCAGACGTGGCTAACAACAGTCGTGGTATTCTAATATAGGGGATCCAACACCTAGGATCAACGTCTCACCCAGACATGGCTAACAACAGTTGAAGTATTCTAATGTAGGTGATCCAACACCTAGGATCAACGTCTCACCCAGACATGGCTAACAACAGTCGTGGTATTCTAATATAGGTGATCCAACACCTAGGATCAACGGCCAACACTTAATTGACATCGTGCACACAAAAGACAAAGTGTACCTTTGACGAAAAAGAAAACCATAGAGATCCAGACGCCAAGTCGGATGTGACAGCAAACGTTACTAATATAAGGTTGCAGTTAATGGCAAATACTACTACTACTACTACTACTACTACTACTACTACTACTACTACTACTACTACTACTACTACTACTAACCACGGAGATCTAGATTAGAATTGCTCTTCAGCAAACCCATACTTGTAAGAGGCGACTAATGGGATCGAGGGGGTGTCCAGGCTTGCTAACTTGGTTGATGCATGTCATCGTATCCCAATAGCTCAGATCGATGTTCATGGTGTCAATCACAGGAATGTCTGGTCTAGACCCGATTATGGAGAGACCGCGGTCATATTGCTGGAATATTGCAGAGTGTATTCCCTTATCAGTTGTATTCCCTTATCAGTTGTATTTTCTTATCAGTTGTATTCCCTTATCAGTTGTATTCCCTTATCAGTTGTATTCCCTTATCAGTTGTATTTCCTTATCAGTTGTATTTTCTTATCAGTTGTATTCCCTTATCAGTTGTATTCCCTTATAAGTTGCATTTTCTTATCAGTTGTATTTCCTTATCAGTTGTATTTCCTTATCAGTTGTATTCCCTTATCAGTTGTATTTCCTTATCAGTTGTATTCCCTTATCAGTTGTATGTTCTTATCAGTTGTTTTCCCTTATCAGTTGTATTTCCTTATCAGTTATATTGGAGAACCACTTTAAAACACTTGAGGGAAAACATTGACCGTCAAATTAGAGGTCGACCAGGCCGACTTTTTAACAAGGATCAGTCAGCACAGACCATCCGAGACGAATGGTGTCAAGTCCCATTTCTTGTGATCAGACATCTAACATCTTCTGCCTGTCGTCGATTTGGGGCGTGCACTGATTCATATTGACTGACAAGTGAGTCATTCTGAAGGATTAATTAAAGAAAGTTCCATTTGCTGATTTCAGTCTTGATGGTAGATCGATCCCTGAGCAACAGACCCCACCCCCCAAGCTGTGGACACAATACCTTCATTTTTGTTCTCATTTACAGAATAACTTGTAATGATGTTGTTAATTCATGTCTTTTACAATACAAGTATCTTCCTCAACATTGATCCTGCTCTTTGTTTTGGAACAAAAAATGCTGGTTGGTAATGGATTTTTGCTCGTCATTTAAGATGATATTACTAACATGTACTCTTTGGGGGCTTTTGGGTCATGTGACAATTAATGCTAAATGAAATGTCAGATTCTCATTATCGTGGAAATCGTAATACCCAACAGAGTATCAGTTATCATACGTAAGTAGCACGTTAACTGCCCAAGGGAACGAAAACAATAGAAATGACATGATATTCTGTAATTTTGAGAATAATTATCTTCAGCTAAAATATAACTATTTCCATTATAATAAGATAGCTCTGATGAAGGAATAGTCTATTGTACGACTATAGCATAAGCAACTCTTTTGGAATCACTATCAAACAGTGATGATACCACATTGCAAAGATTCGTGCAAATCCTTTGAGTGTGTGATGATCCGCATGGTATTAATCCTACTTGTCTCAAATACGTTCTGTAAATATAAAGAAATGTCGTCCTTGATTGCATTTAGGGTCATGGTTAATCTCTGAGACAGGGATTTGGTGGTACGTTTGCTACCAAGCAGTCTATCTGATTCTATATCCTATTTTGCTTGTACCATATGCTCAGGTTAACAGTTGACTGGACTCTGCATTCCACCAGTCTCTGGCAGTGAACATTTGTAAATGTTTACTCTGTTTCTGATATGTTGTACCTAAAGTTAAGACTTAAATTAACCGCTCGTCTGTCAAAATTACAGCTTAACACAAAACAATAATAACCCGGTACACAGCTAATCCCTTGCCACTTGTATTTTTCTTGTGAAGACCGAATTTACAGTAACAAGGTATTCAATTAATTAGGTTGTTATTTGTGTAATCTGCAAGCACCTCTCATAATAACGAGATACAGAATGAATAAAGACCGAATTTACAGTGACAAGGAATTCAGTTAATAAGGTTGTTATTTGTGTAATTTCCAAGAACCTCTCATCACAAAATGAAATAATCAACGTGTTCATCATCATGTAACAATTAAGGGTTTCACAACCCTTTGACGTGAAAACATATGCATTCTTCATAATATATTTCCCCACATTGAATACATAAATAATTGATATAAGCGTGTTTTATTTACAATTTTAGTCACACATTTATATACGTTTTTGACAAAGAATGCTTGAATTGGTTGACTGACTTCCCACAGACAAAGAAAGGATTAAAAGTCCTGAATACATCCTATCACAATCATCCACTACCAATTTTCTCGAATAATACACAGTTACCTATGGTATCCACAAGCACCAATACTCAGTATGGTCATTGGATGATTATAAAAATCACAAAGCCTAAATGACCACATCCGATGATTGTTTAGAAGAACACCTCTAAAGTCAGCATCATGACAGTCTATATTGGTTTCCAACATCTCGTTATAATTAATAGTATATATTAGAAAAACACTTCCTGAAACGAGCCCCCCCCCCCCCCCCCCCCCCAACAACAACAACAACAAACAAAACCAACAAACAAAACCAACAAAACAAAACAAAACAAAACAAAACAAAACAAAACAAAACAAACAAAAACAAACAAACAAACTTCCTCTTATTAATCCTTACAAAGAGAAGACAAAAGTAGGGTGTGTGGGGAACTACTACTTCAAACCATTTGAGAAGTGGAAGCTACTATTACTTTAAAAAAAACTACAGACAAATGCATTTCCCTCATTGTGAAAGTGCATCTGAAATAATTCTTCACGACATTCTTTATCTAAATATTTGTAACATATTCAGCAGTGTAAATTAATTTCACCGGTGTCGTTTGGACATAGCTCCAGTGGAAAAAGGCCTTGGCCACTGTCCTGGCTGGTTGAAGCGCTGTCAGTTCGCCGTCCATCCATTCGACAACTGGCACGTACGAACGGTCGCCTGGAGGTCAATGATCCCGTTTCCAATGTGCTGGGTGCCTGTTCCGTCTCATGTTGGTTTCGCACTGTTATCAGTTTTCCTTGCTTGAAATACCCTTTC